CGTGGGTTGAAGATGGATCTCTTCTACCTGAGAAAAGGAAACCCAGTTATATTTAAAGTCATAAAGTAGGCTAAATTTGTTATTAAATAAGTTAATTTCTTGAGATGTTGCTCTGGAAGGGTTTAAATGACAACACGTAACACAAACATTTTCAAAACTTGATTGCCAGAGAGGTTTCCTCCCGCTAACTTGCGGCCGTTTTGGTGCCGTGCTGTTTGTAGGTGGATTGTTTTTCCTCCCCGTTCTCCATGTGTTATAGTGGTGTTTTAAATCGTACCACGCTCATATTCTTAGCTGGAAGGAAAATGGGAAGATTTTTCCATTTGAAACTTAAACTGCGTAAAGGACCTAATTTGAGGGGAGAGGATGTGAGTGGGGGAGAGACGTTTTCCTATTTTGACTTCTTTCTTAGCAAATATTTTGTAGTGTTAGGAAGAAGCGTGACCAGCTGTTAAATATCTCACTCGGATGAGATTTTTGCAGTTAGTCTAAGTAGTGGGGATTTAGCATGAGTTGGGTGAGCCAAGAATCCTTCCGATTGCTCAGTAGTTTGCCTTCCAGAGGTGAAATCTGTCGCTTGGCTCCTGAACAGCGCAGTAGTTCCTTTCTCTTGCTGCAGCAGGCTTAGTCCTCTGGAAGATGACAAATGACCAGTCCTCAGATGAACCAAAACCGGATGAAGAACAGCACGGAGCGGAGCTGGCAGCGACCGGCCAAGGGGACCGGGGAGGAAACTAGGAGGTGCCTTCACCAGTAGCCGAGCTGGAAAGCTGCAGCCCGTGTGAGTGTCGCTTGGAAAAGAGGTGCCGAGGAGCAGCGCGTAACAGCGCGGGACAGTCCTGTTGTGGGCGGTTGTTGACAGCCGAGCCGCTTCCATCGGAGGCTGGAGTCATCCCCTCGAGCCTGCCACGTTCCTAGGTTTGGAGGAGGAGGGCAGAGAGGCTTCCAAGGAGGGGAAGGAGGCTTCAGAGATTCCCCCGAGTTGTCTCCTTGAGCGTTGCCGAAAGCTGCCTGGCAGGAGAATCTGGCTCTCAATGGGATCCTTGGAGTGATTAAGCGAAGTAGTCCTGAAAGTAGTTCTCGGCCTGCCTTCCTAAACAAACAAGGCCTTTGGGTGCAAGCTACCAGCTCCTACCGTGTCCTGGATGGGAGGATGGCGAGAAACCTGTCAGGAGGCCTGAGGTGAACTCCTCGCTCTTCTGGTTTATCTGCCCGCTTAGATTCTTGGGGCATTTATGTGCAGGAATCTGAACTCATAATGTTCATGAGACTGCTTGTAAAATTTGGAGACACACGTGGATCTTAGGAATTGTATTTCTGTCTTGATGAACTGTATTCCGTGCGGAAATATATTACTGCTGTCCTACCGACAGTAGTGGCTTTTATCCAGAGATAACTGAAATTTTTAATCACGTGGTAGGAGCGGCTGACACATGTGGTTGGTTTGTCTTGCGGACCTCTTTAGATTGTTTTTGGTTTGGGATTGGCTTTGGGAGTTGGGGGGTGGGGGTTGAGTTTTAAAGGTGTGGATTTTTGAAGTAGGTGAGCTTTGTAGGGGGGTGTTTAAACTTGGTCTTTATAATCTAAGAAATGATTCGAGGGCCGGTTCGTAGGCTTGGGGGGGGCTCATGGAACCCTGAGGAGTGTTTTCTTTAAACTACCTGACCCGGTCCTTCTTTAACAGGCAGTGAAACACAAATGGATGCTGGAGGGTTTTCTCTCTAATATACTGATGTCTTCTTTAATTTCGATGTGTTTCACAACCAAAAGAAATGGAGAGTACAGCAAAGTAAGATCTTCAGAAGAACTTAGACAACTCAGCATCTGTTTCAGGAAAAGGCAGATATAATAGGTTGCATATTCTGTAGGTAGTGTTTTAAAGAACTGTTTTCTTGAGAGGGATTCTGTGAAACCCCCGTATGTTGCACGTGAGTTGGTTGCTGGTCCTTTTGGTTTTGTTGGGATTTTTTGAATGTTGGATTAGGAGACATCAGACTTGAAAGAAGTGGGAGGTGAGAGAATTTTTCCGCAAGTCAGAAGAAAACAGTCGACACGAAAATAGTGGATGACTGTTGGTTCTTCTGGTTTTGTGTGCAAGTAGAGTTTAATGCCTTTGGAGGGTAGGTTACTTCTTTGAAAGATGCCTGGGTTGTGTGATGCAGAATTAATCCATCTGTTAGATGTCGCTTTCATGCTTTGAGGAGGGGAAAACAAACCAACCCAAACCAAGAGCTTGCGTGGAAACCCAGGGCAGCCACTACTTTTAGGCCTTCCTGAGTGGTATCTGCTGGTTCACTTGTCCCTCCCTGTGCTCTGTTGGACTTGAGGAGTGTGGTGTGCAGCGCGGAGAGGTGACGTCAGTCTTAAACTTTTCTAGCATAACACGTGGCTTCTAGTCACAGAGCGAATGGATGAGATGACAGAAGGTACGTTCTTTGTGTGCGACGTCGGAAAATCTCATTGCTTCCATTGATCAAATAACAGCCTTTTGAGTCAACTGAGGACAGTTTGGCTAACAAAGTGCTTCAGTGTTTACTTTTTAAGTGATAAGCACAACTGTGGTTTCTTTGTGTTTTAAGTATATTTTGGTCGGTTCTATCTTTCTTAAACCAGATCTGTTGTTTTTCAGGTGGAATCGTTTATCTTGGATCAGGATGATCTCGAAAACCCTATGCTGGAAACGGCTTCTAAACTGCTTTTGTCAAGTACTGCCGATGGTGCTGACCTGAGAACAGTAGATCCAGAAACCCAGGCAAGATTAGAAGCTTTACTTGAAGCTGCAGGTAAGTACTCGTGTCCCATACGGGTTTAACCCCGAAGCCCTTACACATGTGGTCATACGGGAACTGCTTGCATAAGGCTAATCCATATGAGCATGCTACAAATGCAGGCTGTAAGGCAGTGTGAGCTTGGCAAGGTTGTGCAAGTCATGGAAGAGAAAGAAATTCGTTAAAGCACTTGAAATTTTGGAAAATCAGAGTTTCGTGTGAAGGCCGTGCTTCTATTAGGAGTCCTCCGATGTTGGATTTCTAAAAGCCTGAGTAAAAGTTGACACCCGACCTTGGCTTGCAGCCTTATGTCACAGACTCAGTTGCTGAATGAGGCTGTCATTTTGTCACAATTAGCGTATGAAAAGCTTTACTAGTTGCTTGCATTAAGTAGTTGCCGATAGTTGAAAAATAACGCCTTCTGTGGATTGGAGGGTTTCATTCGTGCGCATCGCATCCGAGTGCAGCTTTTAAATTAACGTTGTAAACAGTTAATCCCTTCATTTTGGAAGCTGTAGTTCATTATGCTTGGAATGTGTCTGCCAGCAGATCTCGTAGGCTCAATTTCAACTTCTCTGTTTTCTCCTTTTTTGGCATGCGTACCGATTTGTTGTAAATTGGAATGAAAGGAATAGGTAAGCTGTCTACAGCTGATGGTAAAGCATTTGCAGATCCTGAGGTGCTTCGCAGACTGACGTCGTCGGTCAGTTGTGCGTTGGATGAAGCTGCCGCTGCACTGACCCGGATGAGAGCAGAAAGCACAGCAAATGCAGGGCAGACGGACAAGTAAGCCAAACTTCATACTGGGATTTTTCAGTCGTTTGCTACTTTTAGAAGCAGTTTATCTTGTTGTTCTTTGAACCTTACTTGAGATAATGAGTGGGACAAAGCCCGTGTTTTCAAACTGGAACTACAAAGCAGGAAAAAGCCGGGACCGTACGTTACGTCGTGATTAGTGATAGAAACCCGGAGTGTTTTGTTTGCAGTGCTACATGATTAGTCTTTCCAAAGGGAAAGTTAGTACTTAATTCTCATTCTTAAATGAATACCAGAGAGGTCTTGTACTTCTGTAGGACGTAACACCGTGCTGCGTGTATGGTGCCGAGGCAGTCCACGGTCACGGCTTCTCTCAACACGCAGAATTGGGTAACCTCAGTGGTCATCCTGCAGATGTTTCTCTTGTAAACGTCTGTTAAAAGTTTAGTTACGGGAGAGGCTGAGCATGCACGTTGCTCAATTTACAGACAAGTTACGTGGAAAGCCTCAAGTGTAGAAATGGCACCTCTTCAATTAGCAATTGGCACTTCTTCAGGTTGTGCTTCCTTATTTGTTGACCGCGTCCTCGCGGCACGTTGGATTTTTACTCCGCGCGTAGAGCGAGCGTTTCGAGCGTAGTCCATTTTCACTTTTTAATGCTTTCTATTTTTTATTAGCCGCAGCTTGGCAGAGGCTTGTTCAGAAGGAGATGTAAATGCTGTGCGGAAATTGCTAATTGAAGGACGAAGTGTGAACGAGCACACAGAAGAAGGGGAAAGCCTCCTTTGTTTAGCCTGCTCGGCAGGATATTATGAGCTTGCACAGGTTGGTTTCCTGGCTGTTGGTATTTTAGTATGTGTGTGTTGTACAAAAATAAGTGTTGAATTAATGTATTCTGGTCTTATGCACCTGGAAGGCCGTGTTAAGGTAGTGGAAAAGGTCAGTTAACTGGCAAATGAAGACTCTACGTAAACCGAATGTTCTTTGTGCTTGCTTCTCTAAGTGCTTCTAACGCAAAACTGTGTGGTGGTGAAGGTGGGGGCTTTGTGTAAGCCTTTCAGCCGTCTTGGCACGCAGGTTTGTCACTTGCCAGTGTTGTTGATCACCCTTCTGTTCACAGGTTCTTCTGGCAATGCATGCTAATGTAGAGGACCGTGGTATTAAAGGAGACATAACACCTTTAATGGCTGCTGCTAATGGTGGACACGTCAAAATTGTCAAGTTGCTGCTAGCTCATGGTGCTGATGTGAACGCACAGTCCTCGACAGGTAAGTAAGTGTGCTAGAGCTTGTCGAAAACGACTGACAAGCTGAGATTTGCAGTGTGCGGGAAACGTGGTGTGAAAACTTGGGGAGAGCGGCCCTCAGCCAAGCAACGCAGAATGCTGCTTTCTGTTTTTACTATTTGGCTTCTGCTTTTTTTATTTTTATGAGCCTGTAAAATACTGATTGTGGACATGCAAAGGTGGATGAGGTCAATTAGCAACTGAAAGGTATTTGCGTACGTAGGGTTTGTTGCCACGTAGTATTTAAAGCACAGTTTGGGAAGTTTGTGTGTACGTAGGAAATTATTTGGTGTCAGGTCTAGGAAACCAAGGGAAAAGAGTAAACGTCAGAAGATGGTCCTCCCCTTCCCCCCGCCCGCAGCGGTTTTGTAGGCATTTGTGTTGAAGTGACCAGATCGGGAAATTTTCTTAGTTTGCGCGGCCTTGAAGCGGAGAGATTGCGCGTAGTCAACAGTCGCTGACAAAGAGAGTACTGTCCCTGAATGATGAGAACAGTTGGGATGCCAGAAGAGACTTTATTTTTATTTTGTCTTCTTTAGTGAAATAGTTCTGAGGAGTTATCTGCTTTGACCTTAACTTTTTTCAAGATATCCTTCCTAAAGGCAGGCTCTCGTACTGTTCTGTTCAGAGACGTGTTCGTAGTTTTTCCACGGAGATTGTTTTCATCTCCTTGTAAAGGCTGTGAGCATTTTTTTGAACTAGCCCTTTAGAGGTGTTTTAAGACTTGATTTAGAAGCAGCAGTTCATTCTGCTCCTTGTTTTGAGCTTTCCTTTCTCCAGCATAGTATGTCCCTGCTGATTAACAGGAAAAGGGATGGGCTTTTGTGCCGGAAGCTGGGATCAGCCGGGGTAGAAATGGGAAGAGAAGCGCATCGATACGGTCACCAGGCACATGGAGATCTTTGTTGTGTCAGCACTGAGCTACTCTGTGCGGTTACTTGCTTCCCTCCTCCCCTGTAGTTACTGGCCCGTATCCTGAAAAAACCCTGTTCCTTAAGGTAGGTAGGTAAAAGCGAGGAAACGGAGAGAAGGTTGAAGCTCCCAGTCTGGAAACGCTGTCGAATTCTGTTTTCAAACCTCTTTCTCTTCTGGCTTTAGGCAATACAGCCCTGACGTACGCCTGTGCCGGAGGCTACGTAGACGTTGTGAAAGTCCTGCTGGAATCGGGCGCTAGCATTGAGGACCATAACGAGAATGGTCACACGCCTCTGATGGAAGCGGGAAGTGCTGGCCACGTGGAAGTGGCCAGAGTGCTGTTAGAAAATGGAGCGGGCATAAATACGCATTCCAATGAATTCAAGGAGAGCGCGCTTACGCTGGCTTGCTACAAAGGTATAGTACCGCATACCATATGTGTAACTAAGGTGTAACGAGCGTGGAAGAGTGTGACAGGTGTGAAAAGTCTTTATGAACCTGCATTCGTTCAGCCTTGATGTCCAGGACAAAATTAATTTAAAGGCTACAAACAGACGCTTCTGATGCTTTTATCCTAGCTGTGGTACCACACAGCATGTATGTGCTCTATGTAAAACCATGATCAGTGAGGAGAGCGTCAAGCATCAAGATAGAAACCTTTTGTCCGAGTCGTTACGATGCTTTAAAAGATTCTCCAGTAAATGAATTGGGAGACGAGGAACTAATATGCTTTGTCATAGAGTAAATCTGGTAAACTTTCTGTATTTTAGCTATATTATACAAAATACCTCCGCTTAGGTACAGAAGTTATTTAATTTTGAAGGACTTGGCACTTGGAAAACACGCAAAATCTAGGACCTTGCCTTTTAGGCGTCAGTGCTTCAGCAGCAGGCCTTTCTTGCCTCCCTCAGGGTATTAGGCAGCTCTCTTGCATTGCCCAGGCAAGGGCTGAAGATATTTCATTAAGAGGCCAAATGTGTTCGCACAGCTGAGCAGTTGCTGTTACAGTCACTTAGGACGTGTTTTATTAGAGCTATTAAAGTGGCTCTTGGCGTCGTGGAGTAACTGATGTCAGTAGCAGAGTTACTTCTGTGGCACCGCGGCAGAAGCTACTCTTAGTCTTTCTCTTACGTTTCTTTTATCTGCCTTGACAAATTCTTGGTTCCCTGTTGCTGAAGGCCCTCGAAAGCCATGGTAACTGTCTTTGGTGGTGGCTGTCAGAGCAAGGCTGTGTTTGAAAGGGGGGAGTGGGACCCCAAAACTTTGCCTCCCTGAGAAAATGTGCTCGAGCTCTGAATCCCGAAGTGAGGTTGGAGAGCGGAGAGGAAGAACAAAAACTCTGTGCTTAGTCGCTTGTTGACTGTGAGATACGGGACGGAAGTGAAGATAATCAGGCTGTTAGGTTTTTCACCTAACCGTTTATGATTCGGCTATGTTTTGTGTATTTCTGTGTTGCTCGGAATCTCACGTTTAGGGCATAAAAATTACCTGGCCTTCTGCTACCTTTGTTATGTACGTTGGACCCTTTCTGTGATTTCTAAAGTAGTTGTATCTGTTAAATATTTTGTCTTTCAGGCCATCTAGAAATGGTGAGATTTCTGCTGGAAGCTGGTGCAGATCAGGAACACAAGACAGATGAAATGCATACTGCGCTCATGGAGGCTTGCATGGTAAGAGGTGTATGGCTCGAGCAATGAGGCGTACGTACTCTCTCGTCACTTCTGAAGAGGAACCAAGTGATTCCTTCTGGTCTCCTTTTCGTACAGAACCTCGCGGTGTGCTGTTTCGGTTCTCCTGTGTGCTCGATGGCCCTTTGGCAGAAGAAGTTGGAGGGGGGGGAATACCTGTTTGAAAAATAGAACTTCCTCAACCGGCAAAATTGAACTCGTTCCTCTCGTGGCTGACAAAGTAGTTGAATCCTTAAGAGACATCAGCAAAAGATTAAATCACGTGAGCATTAGCAGGAGAGCTCTCTTAACCCATTCTTTGACAAAGTAGGTTTCTGTGTGCCCAGGTGCACTTTGGTTTTTTTCCTGACGTGGCAGAAGTCAGCGATTAAGGCTGCGCTTGTTGTCCCAAAGCAGGCTCTGCAGGCGACATCTCTCCTTGCGGTGTGACATCTCACTTGCTCTTTGCTCTTCTGATGATCGCGGGGCCTGGTTTGAAATGGATATTTTTGTGACCTCAGTTCAGAGAAAGTAATGATCATCTGCAAGAGGTAGCCAAAAAGAAATACTAGTAATTTATTTGAACGGATTTTTTTTTTTTTTGCTTTGTGTAATTTTGCAGGCTTCTGGGTGAGCAACTTTGAGTTTACGATGGGAAAATCCTTTATACAGGAATCTCCAAACAAAATAACTTCAAGTGCAAGATTCTCGCTGGTTGTTGAGATGCTTTTAACAATTCTAATGCGCTAAACGTAGGCAGCAAATACGGTCGTGGCCTGGCTATTGGAGGCATTTAACGTACCTACGTCAAGTTTAAGGAGTTTGTAAGCTAAGGTTTCTCCCAGTGTAGGTGGTTTCCCATAGCCACGTGCTCCTTGAGAAAGCGGCAGGATCAGGAGCTGGGTGGGAAGCAGCTGGGAAGTGGAAGGGGGAAATTGTTAACTTCTTACTAGTGAAGAGTACTTTGATGTTGCTTTGCCCGCTCGAGGCAATTGTAAAATGACAGTGTGGAATAGATGACCTTTTTATGAAATTTAGTAAGATTCTGAGAACAACTCCTGATTTCTGGATAATAGCTTTTAGCCGTAGGACACAAATACATGTCAAGCTTCCCCTTGAAAAACTTGCGTATGGGTACGTTTTAAGGCTGGAATGGTGTCGCTGTTGCCGGAGTTCAGATTGCACCAGGCTTTAGTGGTGAAGAAAACTCGCTAAATTGTTGTCTTCAGATAGTTTCTCTGTTTGAAGTCCTGTTAGGCTTGAACAGCTACGTAAGTCTCCTATATCTGCATCTTCTTCAAAGCACGTATCCTATTTGAAATCTATTTCCTTCTTATTAGCCGAGGTAATAGTATTCAATTGCTTTGGCCTTTTCCCTAGGAGATCTCTTTAAATGATGGAGTGAATGTGTCTATTTATTCCCTTTATTTCTCCTCCAGGAACTGTTCAGGCTTTGGTGCCCCCTCTCAGAGAAGTAAACTCATGGCAGTGTATTCATTCACTCTGCGCCGCACCAGGGCTCGGCAGGGGTAAGCCAGCAGGGTGAACATCCAGCAGGTGTCAGGTTGCGTTTCTAGAACTGCGAATGTTTTGGAACTTTTTCTGCTGGAGAAACGCAAATGAAACAAAACGGAGCAGAATTACGCTGTGTTTTTAGACACACGGACGCGCGGAGTTTTCTTTGTGACCCCGAGTTGCGGTAGGCTGTTGTGCAACATGTCCTGCAGAGGCTTCCCCTGCTCTTCAGGGCGCGTAGCTGGAGCATGCTTGGGTCGGTCAGCAGTTTGTTTATGCCTTACGCCAACGTATTCCAAGTCCTTCGTCTGACTCTGGAATTTAAAGGTAAAACTGCAAACTAGTCTCTTAAGTTCCCTTTTTACCCTTGTCTCTAAATAGATTTCTCATGGGTTGGGTTTTTCATGTCATCGGTCTTGTGTAGTGTCACGTTGTGCATCTTGGCCTTAGAGCGGTGGCGCGAATCCTTGTTTAGTCTTCCCTGAAATAGCTGTAATGGTTCTGAAATCAGCCAGATAGGTCTGTTGAAGGAAGTTAACGACTTCAGATAGGGGAATCAGTTACAGAAACCACTCCTCACGAAGTTGTTAGAAAGGCAGGCATGGAGATAAACAGGACTTGAGCTATTGTTTATCTCGTTCTGAAGGCTTAATAGATTAACCATATAAATATCATGGGCGCTGTCCTTGCAGCGAGTTCCTTGGAAGGCGACGATAAAATTATCTTGTTTGATGTTGCAGTAGCCTTCAGATCAGAAGTTTACAGTTTTGCAAGCCTTCTTTTCCGTGCCACCCTCTTCCCTCCACCGACAGACTAACAAAAGTCCATCGGACTCGCGGAATTGTTGAGACTCATTTTTTGTTAAGATTTACTGAGCAATACGAAAAAGTCTGTCTCCCTTATTTCTGCAGGAAACCATTCCTAAGTAGGCGTTTCCTCGCTGCTGCCCAGAGTTGACAGATAGTTGAGAGAGTCTGAGTACCTTGAGCTCTGCTCAAGAGAGGGAGCAGCTTTCTCTAGCAGTACTTTAAAAGGTTACAGTTGGAAATAAAGCAGTGCAGGGGCTTCTCATCTCCGCGTGTGTTCCTGCAGAAACGGTTGTTGCTCTTCAGTAGCAGAAGAAAACTATTTTCTCTAGAATAGCATTGAACTTGAATGTATGTTACAGAACTGCTTGTATGTGGCGTAGCACTTGCATACAAGCCAGCGAGACTTTTAAACCTTGTCCTACAAGGCATTGGGGAAGCGTCTTCTGACGGAGAGGTTTTTTATAGGCGGCAGTTACCATTGGTTTAATGCAAATGAGCCGCTGGGCAATGTGACTTGCCTTGCGGGAGCAAAAAGCAGGTTCGTCTGGTTTGCGCTTCCTCTTACTGCACTAAGCTCATCTTCTGCAGCAGGGCTGAGGACTGATTGCCCACAGTGAGTGATGGGGTGAGCTTGTGCAGATTGGTCAGAGGACTTTTGGGGATCTAAGAGCAGTTAGGAGGCTTTTCCTAGTTGTCGTAGAAGAGCTGAACAGCACCACCCCACTGCAAGGTCTGTGAAAGCATGGGTAGAATTTCTTCAGGCGGCTAAACCGCAGTGCTTACTCTCAAGGCTGCCTGGCCCATATAAGAAGCTGGGAAGCGTAGCTTCGTGCTGCTCTTTGCCGCGGCTGCCGCGCATCCGGGATGATTAGTGAGCCGTCTGGCCAGAGCCTGACGGTTA